TGCTCACAGGTTCAGCAGCAGCAGCAGCAGCAACACCGAAGCACAAGTATAAAAGTAATTTTGATTTGAAGTTAACTGAGGTTTCTAGAGAGCTTGAGACTTACATTTCAGGCAGGTGCTTTGCTCTGTTTTTAAGAAGGATGGAAGTGGTGAAGCAGCATCCCCAACCACAAGAAAATAATTTACAGTTGAATTTTTTTATGTCTCAGCCTTTGAGAAGATTATTGGTTTCTAGTTCTTGATGTAATATTCTTTATGAGTATCCTAGTGTTGAGAATATTGAGATTCAAATTCACTCGTATACTCTTTAACAATTTATTTACAGGAAAAAAAAAGGGGAAGAAAACATTTATGTTACATTTGAGGACAGATTAATTAAGACATGTAATTAGCCTGTGTGTATACTTGTCGAGGTTTTACTAGGTGCACTGTTTGGATGGTTTTCAAAATTTATTTTCTGAATTTTTTTTGGTGAAAAATAGAAAGGGCACACGGATCAAAAGTCCACGTACTAATGCAAGTTTGGCATCCTCTAAAAAATTTAAATAGTCAAAAAGTCACTATCCTATTTAAGTCACATCATCTTATTTAAGTCACTCACCTCTCTAACATCACTTCAAACCCAACCCAAATCCAATCATATTTCATAAAAAGTTAAAAGTACACTTATTAGTCTCCCAAACTTAAAACCTTGAAATTTCATTTCTCCCCTTAAATAATATCAAAATTATCATTGTAAAAACATTCCACTAATTCAATTAAATGCACACCCCCACACCCTAAAAAGCCTCTCTCTAAAAAACTTAACAAAACCTAAGAAGGTGATTACTATTTTATCTCACATACTTGTTCATGATCTGAAAAATAAATAGAGAGTTTTTTGTTATTAATTTAAAATTTTCCTTTTGTGGTTTTGTAATCTCTACGACCTGCGGTTATCTGTTCCTGAACAAAGAAATGTTTGGTTATCTGTTCCTAAGCAAATGAACTATGTTCAGGCCTGTGCCTAAAAAGCCTCTCTCTAAAAAACCTTAACAAAACCCAAGAAGGCAATTACTACTTCATCTCCACATACTTGTTCATGATCTGAGAAAATAGATATAGAGTTTTTCTGTTAATTTAAAATTTTCCTTTTGTGGGTTCTACAATCTCTACGAGTTGCGGTTATCTGTTCCTGAACAAGAAATGTTTGGTTACCTGTTCCTAAGCAAATGAACAATATTCAGGCCTGTGTTCTCGAATTTTGATAATTTGTTTGGGAGTTCAGTCCGAAAAAATAAACGAACAATTTTTATTATTTTTGCTATTTTTTTTCAAGAAATTTACCTTTACAAAGCCAATCTTATCTGAGCTAAAAACACCATCTAAGCTATGAATCTCTTTGAGCTTTTATTGTTGTACTCCTCTCATTTCATGGAGTTTTATTGCCGAAAAAAATTTCACTCATTGCCATTGTTAGATAAGTGTAGGCAATCAAATAGTTGACCGGTTATCGCCGAAATATGCATAAAAGGGTTTTCAATGTTTTGAGGGTGTGTGTCACGACCCAAACCCGGCCCTATGGGTTTAGCACCGTAACCGGCCAAGTAATCCGAGATACGAAGGCCTGCAGAACAGTAATACAGTAAGACAGAGTACAGGGCCTGGCGGAAGCCAATACAGTAAATAAATAGTGTCCATTGAGCTGTGACATTCTGTATGCAAAAGGACTTTTTCACACATTATACATAAACAGTGCAGAACAGTATACACAATATTTACAATCATTCCACTAGGGACTCAACCCTACAGAACAGTACAGAAAACATTCCGTCTGTACAAAACAGCACGGTCTATACAAAACAGTAAAACAGTACAGAAGGGGAAAAACAGACAAACACCCCCAAGCCATAGCATGGCAACTCGGAACCTCGCAGTGAGGCACAAAGGCTGGCTTGACAAAACTGGAGTTACCCTGACGCTCCTAGCTCCTTTCTGGTGCCTGTACACCTACATATATATATAGCAGTGAGCTAAAGCCCAGTGAATAACATAAAGCGTAAAGGGGTTTAGAATGAATGTCCTTACAGTATATGAAAACAGTTCAATTCAATCAGTATTTCAGTTGTTCAGTACAGTAAACAGTCATATGTGGTACATCCATTAGCATAACAGTAACAGTAGGTCTTAAAAGACCGAACAGTAATGATGGCCATCAGTCAGTAAACAGTAGTGGTTCCACGAGGGAACCGACAGAGATTTCTGTCACAGTAACAGTAAACAGTAGGTGCTAAGGATGCCACAATCACGTTAAGAATATAGGACATACATTCATTCAGTTAACAGTAATCAGTTCAGAAAAACAGTACAGTTCAGTTGTTCAGAAGATAATCATTTGTGAACATATCTTTACACAATCGTTACTCACTGAGTTCTGGCCTATAGTATGCTAGAGCGTGTCTCCCCAGTCGCCAACCCTACACAGTTAACAGATTGAACACACTAAGCTTACACAGTTGGGAAATATCATAACTTAATCCCTAATTTGCTTGTGTGTTTCTACAACGATATCCTCATCTAAATGCCTTAAACTAGGCCTAAGAATGCCTAGGAGGGATGAGGATGCAAAAATGCACATTTAAAAGCATTTTCAGGATTTTCAGAAAAAAACAGAGTCCCGCTCGAGCTCAGGTTTCCCCGCTCGAGCGTACAGGCAAACAAAGGTACACGCTCGAGCGTAAACTTTCCGCTGCGAGCGTAACTGTAAAAGTACTGGATGGGTGGAATTCCGCTCGACGCCCGCTCGAGCTTGAGACAAGACTCCGCTCGAGCGCCCAATCCTCCGCTCGAGCGGACTGTAAAACAGTGCAAGATGCTGGAAGCTCGATTTCCACGCTCGAGCGGCACTTCCCCGCTCGAGCGACGACTGAAATCTGGAAATCCCAGATTCGAGCTCCAGGTCCAAAACCAAGCTCAAAAGCATCAAAACCAATCTTCTTGGGCCCATTTTCTGAAAGAAAACATTTATAAACACATAGAATCATGTTTCAAAGCTCAATTTGAGAAATCAAAGCCCAAGGGTGTTTAATTCAAACCCAATTTCAAACCAATTTCAAATCATTTTCAGAAACAATCTTAAAAACATGACATGCAGATCTTAATCATTTTCAAAGCTTCAATGCTGTTTCAAAAGAGCTCAAACCTTCAAAAACAAGATGAACTCATGGACTTAGACATAGTTGTGAACATGCATGTAACATTTTGCCATGAACTCAACTCAAAATCCAACAATACTAACATGCATGCAAAGATTGAGCTTCAATTCACCATTAATGGACCAATTCATGTCTTAGCTCTACAATTGGACATGACCATGCAAGAATCCACTCAAAACATGAATAAGAAGACAATGGAGCTACCTTTAGTCTTGTATTTCGAGAAGGGAGCTCAAATATGCAATCACTTCAACAATTTCTTCAATTTCCAAGCAAAACCAAGCCAAAAGAGGTGAAATCTAACTCTCTCCCTTAACTCTCTCCCTCTAGTCGGCAAAAGCAAGAATGAGCTGAGCAAAATGTTTGATTCAAGCATACCAAGGCTCTAACATGTTATAATAAGGGCCCACTAACAATGGCAAAACGGTAATTAAGTCCAACTCTTCAATTAGCTTATTTTAATCTAATTTAATCATACCTAAACAGTTTTCAGGTAAATATACCGTAAAATCACTTAATTGTGAGGGTCCACGGAACATCAGTCGATTTCTAATTCGGCCGCCGATAAGGCCTTCAATTAGCAGTTTAAACATACAAACAGGAACAGATAATCAGACAATCAACAGATAGAATGCAATTTAACTAACATATACTCAATCAAATTCGGTTTCCAATTTTCAGTCAGTCAGTTCAGTACTTTCGATCAGTTCAATTATCAGTCAGTTATCAGTCATTATCAGTTCCGTTTAACAGTATCGGTGATTATCGGTAATCAATCAGTCCCTAATCAGTAAACAGTATGAGGGTTGTTACAGTCTCCCTCCTTATAAAAGAGTTTAGTCCTCTAAACTCGAGTTACCTTCATTCTGGAAGAAAAACAGGATTCAGTGGAAAACAGTTCAGGATATCGTTTGGCCATGTCATCTTCCCTTTCCCAAGTGGCATACACGCCACCGTGGTTTTGCCAATCAACTTTCACCAGCGGGATCTCTTTGTTTCCTCAGTTTCTTGATCTGTCTGTTAACAATCTGTATAGGCCGTTCCTTGTAAGTGTAGTCATCACTCAACACTACGTGAGTAGGCTCTATTACATGGAACGGATCCCGAAGGTAGTCTCTCAACATAGAGATGTGGAAGACGTTATGCATGTGCTCCATTTCGGGAGGAAAGCGCAACTTGATACGCCACCGGATTGATTTTCTCAATGATCTCATACGGTCGACGTATCTTGGTGCTTAACTTGCCTTTGACTCCAAAAACGAGTCTGGCCTTTCATTGGTGTCACTTTCACAAACACGTGATCACCCACTTATCAACTCTCTGTCCCGTCTTCTGACATCTGCATAACTTTTCTGTCTACTCTGTGCAGTTTTCAGTCTTTGCTGTATAAGTTTCACTTTTTCAGTTGTTTCCATACACAATCTCGGGCCCAAGCAACGGCCCATCTCCAACTTCTGCCCAGCAAATCGAGATCTACATTTTCTGCCATACAATGCCTCGAAAGGCGCCATACCAATACTCGAATGGTAGCTATTGTTGTAGCGAATTCAACTAATGGCAGATGACTTTCCCAGTCTCCATGAAAATCAAGGACACACATTTCAGTAAATCCTCCAGAGTTTGGATGGTCCTTTCTGACTGTCCATCTGTCTGAGGATGATAGGCACTAACTCAGCCTCAATTCAGTACCAATGCAGTCTGTAGACTCTGCAAAACCTCGATGTAACCTTCGAATCCCTGTCAGAAACGATAGACAATCATCCATGCAGTCTCCAATTTCATCAATATAGATAACAGCCAATTTGTCGCATTATAGATTGTCTTGACAGGTAAGAAGTGAGCAGTTTGGTTAGTCTATCAACAATAACCCAATTGAAATCCATACCTTTTTCTGGAGCGAGGTAATCCACAATGAAATCCATCGTGATTGCTCCCATTTCCACTCTGTATGAGTAAGGGTTGCATAATCCGGCAGGTCGTTGATGTTCAGCTTTGGACCTGTTGGCAATGAAGACATTTGGATACAAATCAGCAATTTCTTTCTTCATTCCCGCCACCAGAAAATTCTGTTTCAGATCTTGGTACATTTTCGTATTCCCGGGTGGATAGAAAATCTTGAGTTGTGGCCCTCTTGCAAACTCTTCTTTTCAGTTCAGTGGTCATTTGGTACACCACAGTCTTTCTTGAAATTTCAGTAACATTATTCTC